ATGGCATAGTCCTGAGCCAGAAATAGCAATTAGTTCGTTCTGAAATCATGACTATTCAGCCTGCGGATGGTCGTACACTAAAAGTCTCCAAAATGCACCAACATTTTCACATGCCATTTACTATTAAGACTTTATCAGGGGTGTCAGACTTGAGAAGGTAATAGAATGACAAATTCTATGAGAACTGTGTGAGATTTGAAAAAACAAAATACCTTTATCGATTTCCAAATCATACTGTTATTGGAGATCATACTGAAAGTAAGGTGGTCAGTGTCGCAACTTACGGTGTTAAAGTAGATGAGGTCACCAAAGTCTTGAGACCCGCGGTACAGGGGGCTGTTGTGCCCCGTAACTCGCTCCCAAGTTCCGTGGAAATCATATGTCATCACATTGATGAAGTCCAGATACCTTAAGAGCGTAAATATGTACTAAAACAAACCGCACTGAGATATCATGTGATGTTTTGCGAACACAGATTGACTTGATAAATGACTTGAATTTTTTTGGGGTGTTACGTACTTCGCGATCTGTGCAATTTCGTAACCTGCGTCGATTGTTCCCTTTCCTGCTGACACTGCAGCGGTCAACATCAGTTGAGATTTGCCAGTGGTTTTCGCTTCAGCTGCATAGGCTTCAACAAGTTCCTTTTAATGCATACATACATTTCTCATGATATATTTTGTCTCATCGAGACAGTAAACATGTTGCTTGGGGGGAAAAGAAAAATCCCGTGTCACCTTGCAGAGTAAAGTAAACCTCTTCTTATCCTCTGGGGGGCTTCCACGAGATCCCGGGTACTCCCAGTCCAAATCCAATCCATCAAATCCATGAGTCCTCAGAAACTTGATTGAAGATTGAATGAATTTCTGGCGGTTGGCCGGAGTGGACACCATGATGGAAAACCTGGAGAGATGGAAACGTTTGTCTCTCTCTCTTTGTAGATATCACCATGGAGGTGGTAGAATAACAGCACAAGGACTTACTGAGTTGAGCCAAAGTTCCATCCTCCAACGGCAAGTAAAGTCTTCAGACCCGGGTTCCTTTAAAACGAAAAGTTTTGCTCATGTAAATGAAATCGACTGCCGATGTGTATCTTAAAAGAAAATTCTTTTACAATTGTTACAGAATACGACATCGTCATACTTGCTCTTCAGACCATTGAAGGTTTTGTAAAGGGTCTCATCATTCCATTCGTATGTGACCAGCTCATTTTTGTTGTTGATGATGGAGAAAGCATATATCAGATGGGTGCACAGAAATGGATCGACGTTCTGAGGCATGTATTTGCCAGCGCCGGGCCTGTACTGGGACCAGTTGGTAAAGTAACACACCATCTGGGAGGCAGTTGCTGAATTGAGAGGAAGAAAATTATTGGCAAAAATGTGGTAATATTAAACAAGTATTTTTTATGACATCAACGTTACCCAGTTGGCA